TGGAAAGGCTGGAGGGCTCGGGAGGGTTTAGCGCGGGGGTTCGGGTGTTCCCGAGGGTCAGAGCGCAGGGCCTTGGAACCCTCTCGGGGGCTGCGGTGCCCGGGGGGCCTCCCATGAACCCGGATGGTCGATTCAGTTCCTGGGAAAGTGCCTCGGAAAAAACATTCAAAACTACCCAGCCAACAAAAGAACCCCAAAAAAGGAAAAGTGAAAAAAAGGTAAAGGAAAAGCTGTAAGGGCCAGGATGATTTTTTTGCTTTGCTTCAGTTTTTCCTTGGTCTCCTCCTTCTCAGACTTCGCCCTTTCATTTACAGAAAGCTTTTCTGCTGTTCTGTGGTTTTGGGGTCCCTGAGGCGGTTTTGTGGTCCCTTAGGAGCTTTTGGGGGTCTCTGAAAAGGTTTTGGGGGGTCTGTGAGGGGATTTGGTGTTTTGAGGAGACTTAGGGGGGAGGTTGAAGGTCCCTGAAGGGGTTTGGGAATCCCTGAGGGAGTTTTGGAGTCTCCGAGGAAATCGGGAGGTCTTGGGGGTCTTTGAGAGGGTCTTTGAAGCAGTTTGGGTATTTCTAGGCGGATTTTGGGAGTCCCAGAGGGTTTTTGGGGTCCCTGAAAGGGCTTGGGGGGTCGCAGGTGGGTTTTGCAGGTCACTGAGAGGGTTTAGGGGTCCGGGGGGGGGTGGTGTTGATGTCTCTGAGGGGATTTGGGGTGTCCTTGAGGAGGTTTCAATGAGTCCAGGGATGGATTTCTGAGGGGAATTTATGACTTTTGAGTCTCAGGACTCACCTGTTTGTGGTGTTGCCCCTCCTCTTTCCCCCCCCAAATGTCTCCTAACCTCCATTTCCCTTTAATCCCCTCCCCCCACAGATCCCTTTTAACCCCCCAAGACCCTTTTACTCCCCTAAATGTACCCAAAGCCCCCCAAACCCCCAAATCCCCATCCAAACCCCCAGATCTCCCCCACCCCCCCCTCAAATCCTTTCCAACACCCCCACAAGGGACCACTCGGCACCCTGGAACAGGAACAAAGTGGGCTGTACTGAGGGCACTGGGCTGTACTGGGACAACACTGGGGGGTGTTCAGGTGTCCCACGACAACATGGCCCAGCTCCGGGAGAGATCCAGGGAGCAGTGTGGAGGTACTGGTCTGTACTGATTTCTGCTGGTCTGTACTGGTCTGTCCTGGTCTGTACCCCCAATCCCCAAAGCCCCTCCCCAGCTCCCCCAGGACCCTGACTTGGTCCTGCTGCCCCTTGAGCATCTGCAGCTCCTGCAGAACCAGGCATTTCATCAGCATATTTGCAGCTGACACCAAGCTGGGGGTGTGTTGATGTGCTGGAAGACAGGAGGGCTCTGCAGAGGGACCTGGCCCAGCTGGATCCATGGGCTGATTCCAAGGGGATGAGGTTCAAGCAGGCCAAGGGCCGGGTCCTGCCCTTTGGCCACAAGAAGCCCCGGCAGCCCCCCGGGCTGGGGCCAGAGTGTCTGGAGAGCAGGCAGGCAGAAACGGAGCTGGGAGTGTGGATTGACAGGAAGCTGAAGAGGAGGCAGAGTGTGGCCAGGGGGGCATGAGGGCCAGTGGATGGTGGCCTGGCTGAGGAAGAGTGTGGCAGCAGGAGCAGGGAAGTGATTGTTGGCCTGGACTGAGCGCTGGTGAGGCCACCCCTGGAGTGCTGTGTCCAGCTCTGGGCCCCTGAGTTGAGGAAGGCCCTGGAGGGGCTGGAGCAGGTGCAGAGAAGAGCAGCGAGGGTGGGGAAGGCAGTGGAGCACAAGTGGTGTGAGGAGAGGCTGAGGGAGCTGGGGGTGTTGAGGCTGGAGAAGAGGAGGCTCAGGGGAGACCTCCTGACTCTCTGCAAGTCCCTGCCAGGAGGTTGTAGCCAGGTGGGGGTGGGGCTGTTCTGCCAGGAAGCAGCAGTAGGACAAGAGGGCTGGGTCTTGAGCTGTGCCAGGGGAGGTTTAGGTTGGATATTGGGAAGGAATTTTTTGCTGAGAGAGTAATCAGGCCTTGGAATGGGCTGGGCAGGGAGGGGGTGGAGTCCCCGTCCCTGGAGGTGTTGAAGGTGAGAGTGGATGTGGCCTCAGTGCCATGGTCTGGGAAGCACAGCGGGGTTGGATCCAGGGTTGGACTTGATGATCTCAGAGGTCTTTTCCAACCCAGCAGATTCTGTGATTCTCTGATTGCCATTCCTATGGCAGCACATGCTTGAGGCTCTATCCACAGGGGGATAGAGATGTCTGTCCATATCTATCTCCAAGGTTAGTCTGTAAAGGCAACGCAGAAAGAATCGTGCCTTGCAGAATATACCATCTAAGGAGTCTTTCTGTTGTGCCTTTTGCAACCGGACATGCCTATCTCGTATTGGCCTTTTCAGCCACCAACGCACTTGCAACAAACGTGGGTAGAGCCCTTCCCAAATCTTTGTTCGCGAAGCCCGACCATGATAGTCTGTAAATGTGCGGTGTTAGAAAAGCAGGCTAAGTTCTGGGATGGTTGTAGAAGGAGAAAGAAGCCCAGAGGCCAGTGCAAGCAGGCAGCCCTCAGCTTGCACATGATGTCCCCTCCCTGCAGGTTCCTGTCCTTGAGCCCAGGCCCTGAGGTGAGCCTGAGAAGTGGCCCGGAGGTGAGCCTGAGAATAAAGCAGAGGTGCTGCTGAGGAAGGAGAGCCCCGTGGTGGGGAAGGCACAAAGCTGTGAGTGCCCATCCCCGAGCAGGTGCTGTGTCCATCCCCTGTGTGCCAGGTGAGCTGGGGCTTTGCTGCAGAGCTGCGGGCGCTGATTTGAGCGGCTGCAAGTGCTGAGATGGTGGGCACCCAGGAACACCAGCTGTGCCTGGCCACGGAGCCTGCAAGGAGGAGCAGAGACAGCCCTGGCAGTGTGGGGGCCCAGGTTGTCCCTGTGCCTTCCCCTGCAGGCCCTGGCTGTCCCTGCTGGGCCCCTGTCCATCCCCATCAGGTCCCTGCCCGTCCCCCCGGGCTGAGCTCCCCCCAGGAAGTGCCGTGGAGCTGAAGCTGCTGCAATCCCCCCCCTGCAGCCGCTGCCCCAGCCAAGGGAGCAGCAAAGGCAGGGCCAGGAGCAGAGGCAGCAGCAGGGGAGCCCTGGGGGGGCCGGGAAGCTCGTGTGTGGGTCAGGAAAGAGGCGCTGGGCACGAGGCCGGGGCTGTGCTGAGCAGGCCCAGCCCTCACATCCCCCCAGCCAACGCCGGCTGCCCGGGGGGCTTGGGAGGGACCCCCAGCCCGTGTGCCCCACACTGAGCTGGCAGAGAGAGAGCCAAGGGACAGGGATGTGGGCAGGGCCCCGGGTGAGGGACAGGCAGGGCCATTGCAGGGCCATGGTGAGGGCACAACCTGTGGCAGCAGAGCTGCCCAGGGCTGGGGGCAGCCGGGGTGTTGGTACCAGCCAGTGCTGGGGCCCAGCAGAGCACGAGGCCTCTTGCAGAGCCCTGGAGCAGCCTCCCACTTGCCAGCCCCGCCCTGGTGGGGTGACACTGTCCCCTCCCTGCAGGACACTCCCCCTGAAATCTTCAGGGGGGGCCTTTTGTGTCTATTCCTGGTTGCTGATTCCTGCTGGGGCCTGAGAGACCCTCTGCAATCCCATCCATGGGGCACAATCTACTCTCCAGAGCTTGACTCACTGCAGCCTTTGCAGGGAAATCTGTGCTGGCAGCTGCATCCTCAGCCCCAGGGCAGTTTGTATCCCCGAGTGCTGATCCATCCTGGGGACCCAAGGGATCCTTTGCCATTCCATCCATGCAGCAGGAGTCACCCTCCTACCCTTGACTTCCTGCAGAGGAACAAGTGCCCTCTCTCTGTTTGGGAGAAGCCAGATGCTGCCCCCGGGCCATCAGAAGTGGTGCTGAAACCTCTTTCAGCCCAGCCTCGGGTGCAGTTTTCTCATCCCCTCACTGAGTGCCCACTGCCCCAGCCAGCACTGACCAACCAGGGGGTTTGGCACACTTGGATTGGTGGTTTGGAGAAACAGCCCCGGACTGACAGGGGGCCAGATAAGCTCAAGGAACAGCCCTGGTGAGTTTTAAGTGACACTACATTAATACAGCTCTTTATTAGTATATAGCAACTCAATCAAGTGCTCATGAAATGACCTCACTCCCCTCATCCTCCCAATTAAACACCTTTTTTTTGGCAGAATCTTCATATTTTGGAGTATTTTCTGGCTAAACTTTAACTTTTTGCAGTTTGGAGAGGTTCATCTCACTATTTCTGAGGTGTTTTTTGCCTGAATCTTGGTGGTTTGGGTTTTTCTGGGCTTAATCCTGGTGTTTTGGAGTTTTTTATGGACACAGGATGCCCGGTGAGTTCTAGAGATGGACTTGGGCAGGAGGAACCCCCAAGCCAATGCGCTCAGCCCTTGTTTTCCCCCCCTCCATCAGGATCTGTCCTTCCCAAAGCTTGGGCGGATGGAGGAGGAGGCTGCGAGGAAGAGGAAGATGCCTTGGTCCCCCCAGGCAGGTGAGGAGGAAGTCAGTGTCCCTTTGGGCGGGTGTTGTGCTGGCTCTGTCAGCCGAGCATGGCCCCGGCTGCAGGACAACCCCGCTGGCGCCGCCGTCCTGCCGGGGCCGGAGTTGGGGGGATGTCCTTGGCCTTCCCTGTGGGCCGGAGGCAAATCCCCTGCCTGTCCTTCTTGCTTCCTGCCCCAGGCCCCGAGCTGAGGACGGAGAGCCCGGAGGACAAATCCCCCCGGCAGAGCCTGGTGGGAGAGGCCGTTTTGAAGGGCTCCCCGGCACAGGAAGGCAGCGGGGAGGAAAAGGGCCGGAGATCCCCCCGCAGGAGGGGCTCCAAAGCCAGCCCAGGGTGCTCTGAGGAGGAAAGGGAAGGCGGCGGGAACCTGAGGCAGAGCTCCAACCTAGTGGTCTCTGAGCAGCCTCCCAGCAGGGAGAAGCCATTCAGGTGTTTGGAATGTGGGAAGAGCTTCAGGACAAGCACCATGCTCCTCAGCCACCAGCACATCCACAGGGGGGAACGGCCCTACACATGTAGGGAATGTGGGAAGAGCTTCAGGCAGAGCTCCCACCTCCGCACCCACCTCCGTACCCACCAGCACATCCACACTGAGGAACGGCCCTACACGTGTGGGGAATGTGGGATGAGCTTCAGGGAGAGCTCCACCCTCCTCACCCATCAGCGCATCCACACCGGGGAGCTGCCCTACACGTGTAGGGAATGTGGGAAGAGGTTCAGGAACAACTCCAACCTGATCCAACACCAGCGCATCCACACTGGGGCACGGCCCTACTCGTGTGGGGAATGTGGGAAGAGCTTCAGGCAGATCTCCCACCTTCTCAAGCACCAGCACATCCACACTGGGGAACGGCCCTACAAGTGCTTGGAGTGTGGGAAGATGTTTCAGACCAGCTCAGATCTCCTCCTGCACCACCGGACGCACACGGATGAGAGGCCCTTCCGCTGCACCGATTGTGGGAAGGGCTTTAGCCAGAACTCCCACCTCGTCAGGCACCGGCGCATTCACACCGGGGAGAGGCCCTACAAGTGTGGGGAGTGTGGGAAGAGTTTCACCCAGAGCGGTAACTTGACCACACACCAACGGACCCACCGGTAAGGGCACCCTAAAAGTGCCCCTGCTGTGGGAACAGCTTTGGCCACTGCTTCCACCCCCAATGAATCCCCTGTTGGTGAGGCAACCCCAGGAGTCCAGTGACTGTCAGTCCATCCCTTTTGACCACAAAGGGCCAGTCCCCTTTCCCAGGGGCAGCTTCTTCCAACAGAACCCTTCCTGGGGGTGTGTGGAGATTCCTGCCTTGGCTGGGGACCCCCCAAGGTCACTGCTGGAGGTTGAGAGCAGAGATCTCCCCAGGAGCGTTGGTCTGGGGGAGTTCCATCCATCTCTAATTAAGAATTATTGCTTTTGTGCCAGCTTTAGTGGAATTGCTTCAACAATTGCTTTAGTGTAGAGCACTGTCCTATCTTATCCTGTACTCCTGGTAGTTTTAGTGTGTATATTGTGCTTAATTCTGCTGAAGACCTTTTGTCTGATCATTTGTAACCCTAAATAATTCATTTCTATCAACAGATCTGACTTGCCATCATTAAAACCTGGGGGACAAAAGTGGTTCAGTCACAGCTCTGTAATTCCTCTAATCTGAAAATGTTGGCATAATCCAAGGCTGAGATTGCATTCAGCAGCTCCCAGCACCGCACAGGAATTTGGGAGCTCAGGGGGCCACCTCCCTTTCCCAGCTCCCCTGTGCCCAAAGACCCTCATGGGACTGTGGGACCTGCCAGACCACCCCCCCTTTTCCACCCTTCTCCCTGTTTCTCCCACTTTCCCATTTTCCCCTCAATCCCCAATGTCCTCCCTGAACACTTTTTGGGTCCCAACCTGCCGATGCCTAAAATCTATTCTGGCACAGTTTTAAACTTTTATACTGTTGTTGGCTATTAAATATTTCTAAATATTTTATCTAATATTTCATAAGTGGGATTAATTTAAGCAGTCTCTTCTCTCTCATTTTTAACTTTGGTAGCAGGTGTTCATCACAGGTATCCTTGTGCTGAAGTCAGCAGCTTCTTCTCTCACTCACAGCATGCCCAAGGCCGGTTGATGGATTCCAGTGTTATCTCTGAGGCCTCTTGCTGGGCAGCTGCCTCTGGCTCCCTAGCCTGAACACATCTGGTTTCCCCCAATTCCCCCTTTTTTATTTTCTAATTGAAACACTAAAACTTGTGCAAAGCTACAGCGAACCAAACGTGACACACAAGAAAGAAAACATGGCACACTAAGCAAAATACAGAAAAACACAAAAATTCCAGTTACAGCTACAATGGCAACTTTCTTGAGTTTTGGACCTAGGTTAAAAATATCTAGCCAGCTAAACAAACTGTCTAAACCTTGGTCCTTCTCTGCATTAAGCTGCGCTGTTAGGGTTTTTAATTGAGCAAGGCTTTGATGAATCAACTCTGAGTGACCAGAAAGATTCATGCAGCAAAGGCCTTCAAAAACTTTGCAACCATGTCCACGAGCCAATAGCAAAAAATCAATGGCTGCTCTATTCTACAAAGTGGCTTTCCTAATTGAACTGACATCGGTTAGTAAGGCGTCAGCTGCTGAACTTGGCAAGCCAGCAGCCTGGTCTATCCAAGGTGGTCAAGGCATGAGCTGTTCCAATTCCAGCTACAAGACTGGAGAATACTCTTTCTGCTGGGCCCCAGATATGTACTCTTGAATTGCAATTCTTATTGTATCGTTGCACGAATCTTTTTTGCCTCTTTTGAATGTGTGTTGCTTATGGGTAATTTGTGAGGGTTAAATGATGTTAATTTTCCAAATGTGCACGGTCCTCCTTTTGCTCTAGTGGGAATACCTTTCCAGAATCACAGCCCACAGATTAAGAAAATACCATTGGGCAAGCCAAGAGGTGTCGCCCCTGATTTTAATACTGTAGAATTGGGTGATTTACACCAAAAACGAGCCTTTTGGTATGTTCCAGAAGGAGATACGCCAATTGCCAAATAATGATTTGAATTTGAATCTGAGGGATCAAATTGAAAACAGAAAGGTGCAGTCAGACTGCCCATGACATTAATTTCTTGGGGTTCTATTGGAATTCAAGGAAAATTATTTTCAAGGTTTTGGTTATTGGCACATTGTGCCTTGTGAAGGTTAGAGAATTGTGGCAAGTACTGGTGTAGAAAGGTAATCCACTGGGTGCAATTGAAAGGAAGGCCTGCTAAACAGGTACGGAACGGATCAGTTGGGGCAGCCACAGACAAACACAATGTGTCAGTCCCGGTTGCATTGGCGAGTGTCACCCCGACGTTCTGGGTGACAAAGGTGGTCCAGTCAGGAGGCATGGCTGTTGTTATGAAGATGATGCAAGGTAGGGTTGCACGAAACGTGAAGGTATCCATCGCGGTGCTCGATCTGTGGAGACACAAGCATAACCTTTTCCCCAGGTTATTAAGGGACAAGGACCTTGCCATTCTCTAGTAACTGGATCTCTGAACATTACTTCTGCCTTCCTCTCTGTGGAAACATGTGCTGGGACAAAGTGACGCTGTGCTGCAGAGAGATCTCCTACTATTCTATTTAGAAAGTTAAGCACATATAAAGCCTTATTTAAACACTCCTGGGGAGTTAAACCTGAACTTCCTCTTTTCTGTTTCTGCAACGTCTTTGAGTGTGCAGTGTGCACACTCAATTACAGCCTGACCTGTGGGGGTGTGTGGAATACTTGTTAGATGTTGTATTCCCCATTGTTCAAAAAATTCTTTTGTGCGTTTGGACATATAAGAAGGTCCAGTGTCTGTTTTAATTTGCTTAGGTACTCCCATGTGTGCAAAGGCTGTAAGGAGGTGACATTGTACATCCCAGCTTTTCTCCCCAGAATGAGCTGTAGCTACTAGAAATCCTGAAAACGTGTCAATGGAGACATGTACATATTTCAGTTTGCCAAAAGAGGATATGTGTGTTACATCTGCTTGCCACAGCTGCAGGGGTTACAGTCCTCAAGGGTTGGTTCCTTCAGGAGCAATGGGAGTGATTAGCTGACAGTCTGGACAGGATGCTATGATAGAATGAGCTTGCTCTGATGTGAGATCAAATTATCTTTTTAATGCCCTTGCATTTTGATGAAAAAATTGATGTGACAATTCGGCTTGCTCAAATCACTGAGGTACTATTACTGCTCCTGCAAGTGCATCTGCACGTCGATTACCTCCTGAAATTGGACCAGGAGGCAAGGTATGAGAATGCACATGGCATGATGAAAAATGCAAATTGCCTCTTTTCAACTAGAAACAGTAATTTTTGAATAGGGCAAACAGTGCCGCATGATTGACTTCTTTCAGATAGGAGTGTTCAATTTGTTGAACCACTCCCACAACATACTGAGAATCAGAAACTATGTTTAAAGGTCCTGGAAAGAGTGTAAGTGTGCAGATTACTGCTGATAATTCTACAAGCTGTGGTGACCCATCACATGATGTATATCCTGTTGCCTGTCATTATCTTTCTGCCACACTACGACTCCATTTCCCGTTTTTCCTGAACCGCCAGTAAAGACAGTTTGTGCATCTGTTAAAGGAATAGGGGAGCAGTGTGTTCTCAGCTTCAAAGGAAAGTTGTTTAAACACTGTAAAATAGAACAAGCAGGTAGGTGAATACTTAGCTGACCTGCAAAATCACTTAAGGCAGTTTGAAATTCAAAACTAGCCTTCTCTAGCCATTGTAAATGCTCTGTTGTCATTGGCAAATACACAGTACGTGGGTCACACCCTGCAAGTTCCCAGCACCTAATGCAGCCTCTCTGAAATATGCGTGATATCATTTCTGGCTGAGTCGTTACTGTTTTAGAAAACTGATGAGCTGGAAAAACCCATTCCCATAAACAAAACTGAGTATTGTTCTTGTACAACTGGCCCAAGAGGCCAAAAGGTTAAGCGAGTCCCTTCAAGGTAACTAACGCTACTGGCTCATCTAAGAGACGGTGACTGGCCTGGCAGGAACTGAGGTTTTGCTCTACAGCATGCAAAGCAGTAACAGCTTCTGGTGTTACCTGTCTGAGCGAAGTTAGTTCTGGATCTCCTTTAAGCAGGCAAAACAATGGATGGAGTTCGTCAGTGGAAATATCCAAAATAGATCTGAGCCAGTTAATAGCTCCCAGCAGTCTTTGCAAATCATTGAGGGTTTGCACTGAGTTTGACAGAGAAACACGCTGGGGATGAATGGCTGTTTGGGTTATTTTCCATCCCAGGTAATACCAAGGAGATTCTTGTTGTACTTTTTCTGGTGACACTTGAAGGCCATAGGTTGCCAACTGTTGCTTTGAGGGCTCTTTGCATTAGTTCCTTATCAGCTGCACAGATTAAGATGTCATCCCTGTAGTGATATATGCAGACTTCTGGATACTGCTGACATACAGGTGACAGCGCAGTGGACACAAACAGTTGACATATGACTGGACTATTCTTCATCCCTTGAGGTAGGACTTTCCAGTGATAGCGAGCATGCAGTTCACTGGTGTTAATAGATGGCACTGAAAAAGCAAACTTTGCATCTCTGGGGTGTAAAGGAATGGAAAAGAAACAGTCCTTTAAGTCAATGATAGTAAGTGGCCAGTTTTGAGGCAGCACTGATGGCAAAGGCAGGCCTAGTTGGACAGCTCCCATTGGCTTGATGACTTCATTAATGCATCTTAGATCGTGCAATAGATGCTACTTGCCACTTCTTTTTTGGATCACAAACACTGGGGAATTCCAGGGACTGGTAGAAGCACAAATGTGTCCTGCTGAAAGTTGTTCTTGAACAAGCACTTGAAGATATTGCAGCTTGTCCTTTCTGAGCGGCCACTGATCCACCCACACCAGTTCATCAGTCGTCCAGGTTAGGGCGGGGACCAGCTGATGTTCAGTGGCCTCTGGAAAAAATTTGTAGTGAGACCAAGTCCCCATTGTCCCAAAGCATCTCAGCCCCACAGTGTGATTGGCAAGTCCAAAACAAAGGGATGAACTGTGGCTGTACGCTTCTCAGGGCCTGTGATTGTAATTGGATGCAAGCTTTGTTGTGGTGCTGTAACTCCTGCCACTCCCCTCAGTGCCTTCTCTGGCTCCATAAGCGGCCAGAAGGGTGGCCAATCTCGAATAGAGATCAAGGTCACATTGGCACCCATGTCTGCCAAACCTCTCAGGTGGATAGTCTCTTTTCTCCAGAATTGTATAAGGAGCAATGCAGAACTGGGCATTGTGCTGACAAGGGCTGAACCCAGGAGAGAAAATCATCTATCTCCCATCTGTCTTTTGTTGTGCTAAAGTCTGGCCTTTCTCCCTGATTCGAGTTAAACTTTGTTGGATCAGGATAAGCTGAGCAATGGGAGTGCCTGCCTCTATATGGACAGGGGGTGCAGGTGTCCACAGCATTATTTTTCTCTCTCCCACAAAGTTGGCATCTATAATTCCAGGCAGTATGCACACACCTAGTGCAGAGGTTGATGTACGACCTATCAGCAAACCGCTGTGGCCATCCTCTAGAGGACTTTGAATTCCTGTAGAGACTACATGTATTTCATTATCAAAGAGTTTGAAGGATTTCGAAGGGCTCAAGTCTATTCCAGCATTGCCTGCAGTGCGTGTTTGCAGAGAACTAGCTGGCTTAAGTGAAAGGCTTGAAGTTTGGAGGCTATGTTTGTCTTTGCACGACCTCTCTGCACGCTCATATCTGTTTCCCGAAGGCTTCTTCCCTTTACCTGGATGATGCAATAGGGATCCATCCTTTGCATATTTGGAGTGGCATTCCCCTTGTGACAACGAGGGCACATTGCAGGCTTAGCACTGTGTTTTTTCATGGGACAATTTTTTTGAAAGTGTCCCTTCTGTCCACACTCACAGCACAATGGTTGTGGCTGGGAATCTGGTTGAGGCTCGTAATCTAGAGGAGGGTCTTTAAAGGTGACCAGTGCCTCTGCTAAAGAAGCAGTTTTGGAAGCTTGTGAGCCTACGTTTCTGCAGGCTTCAAGCATCTCTGCAATGGTAGGATTACATAATGCACGCAGTATTTTTTGGCAGTCTTCACTGGCATGTTCTATCACTATATTTTTAAGGACAGTTTCTTGTGCTGGAGCATAATCTATTTGTTTGTTTATTGCGTTTCGTAGCCGCTCTGCATATTGCATAAACGGTTCCTTAACACCTTGTTTTATCATCATAAAGGACTGTGTAGCCGCCCCTGTGTCTGGTACTTTCCTAAGTGCTTGTAAAGCTAGATTTTTAGCAAGAGTCAAATCAAGCAATGGGATTTGAGCCTGAGCTGCTGCTGTCGCATAAGGTCCCTCCCCCATAAGAATATTTTAATATGTGCAATTGGCACTCGGATCATAGGTGACATCTCTTCTGCCTGCTTCTTTACTTTACTTTTTCCATTCTGCTTCAAATAATGTGTATTGCATGGTAGTAAGGAGCATTCTCGCTATTCCTGCACAGTCATAAGGAGTCAGCACAAAGGTGCCAAACAAAGAATCTAAAAGCCCTCTTGTAAATGGAGCCTCCAGCCCGTATTCCATAACAGCCTGCCGTAAGTCTTTTAAAACCGGATATGGGACAGGTTCCCAGTGGGGTTGCTGACCGGCTGTAAAGATAACTGGGAAGGCTTGCATCATATGCAAATCTCCTTCCTCTGCTGCTGCTTTCCTAACAGGAGCCCGTCTGTCTTTTGGATCGGCAGGGAATAAAGTTTGCTCTTGTCCTGGATTGTAAGGACACGGCTCCCAAGAGTTCCCACCCGGAACTGGAGCAGGCAGGAACTCAGAAGCGCAGAGCAGTGACCTCACGGCAGGATTCACTTCCTGGGGCGGACTCGCCCCTCCCCTCTGGGAGGGACCCAGCGCCATCTTGGAGTGGCACAGTTGGAAATTCTTGAGCTGGCGGGGAGAGAGGGGGGATCTCTCCAGCTTCCCAGGGAGAGGAATGGAGTCGAGTGGCACCAGAGCAGCCGTGTCTGCTCGCTCAGGACTCAGCACGGGCGGAAGGGTGGATGGATGTGGCAGGACCCGGCCCGCGTCTGCGGTGGCTGTGCCTCCCGAGAGCCCCCCTCCCACGGACGCTGCGATGGCAAAGGGCACTTGGGGGTGAGGGTTTCCCGTGTGTGGCAGCTCCGTAGCTTGTGAGCTGGTTCCCCCTTTCTCCACCTCCTGGGGTGAGTCGGCGGGTTTTTCAATTTGTTTTTGCTCCGGGAGTGGTGTTTTTTTAGAAGATCTATCTTGTAGAGTCTCAAAGACTAAGTGCCACAGTCTCAAGATGCTGGCCACTTGTTTGTCCCCTTGGGTCACAGCATTCCAGAGCTTAATTCCTATACGATCCCGCTCTGAGACGTTAAAAACATTTGAAACAGTTAAACCGAGTTGAGTTTTCTGTGCCCAAAGAAGCAGATTCTGTAGTGGTAGATCTTCTACCTTCGACCCATGCTCTTTGAACAGGCATTTCATAAATTCATGCACATCTTTTTGTTCAGAGGACATATTTAACCCCATTATTACGATTTTCTTCTAATTATTGACTATTCTTAAATTGTTCACGACCGCTCACCTCCCTGTCCTGCAGCGAGGGATTCTGGCACCATCTCCGGAGTTCGATCACGCTGCGTCACCGAGGTAAGGGACCTGTAACCACCACCTGCTATTCCTGGTCCATTCCTAAATATAAGGAATCAGAACCAAGTCCCTACTTCGGGCACCAAATGCCGACGCCTAAAATCTTTTCTGACACAGTAATAAACTCTTTTACTGTTGTTGGCTATTAAATTACACAATCTGACTGCATCACTAAAAATAGAGGTTTTATTCTTTTGTCCTCTTTGTCCAGTAGAAGGGAACAGAGTTGCCTGGAATGGTGGGAAAAAAAGCATGCAATGTTTACATTGAAGCATTTTTATCCCACCTAGCGCAGGAAGTTTTAGGCTACAGGGAAGGAGGCACGCATGGACCTATTTAACACACTGTCACACACTTTTTCTAACTTATCCACACTATTCAAATTTTTCTAACAACACACTGTCATTCTTAATTATAAATTAATTCATATTTCATAAGTAGGGTTAGCTAAAACAGTCTTTTCCTTCTCATTTTTAACTTTGGTAGCAGGTGTTCACCGCAGGTATCCTTCCCCTGAAGTTAGCAGCTTCTTCTCTCAGTCTCACAGAGTGCCCAACGCCGTCTGATGGATTCCATCGCTATCTCTGAGGCTTCTCTCTGGGGAGCTGCCTCTGGCTCTCCAGCCTGAACACCTGTTTGGTCTCCCACACTCTGGTAGTTTTAGTCTGGGCCTTTCCTCGGTGACCAGTTTGTAACCAAGGAAGTGGCCATGTTCCCAGTATTCCCTATGATTTTTACGTAAGCCAGGGTATAAATAAGAAGGGAAGAGAAGCCTTCGCTCTCTTCCCTTCCAGTGGTTCTGAAGGCACAGGTTCCCTGCTGTCGGTTCTGCTGTGTGGGGGAGTGAGGTCTAGTGAGCCCTTGTAGACCTTGGGAGGCAGAGGGTGCCGGCGGTCGTTCAGCGCGATTCTGCTGTCCCAAGGAGAGTAGTAAGATATTCTTTTGCTAGTTCTTTACTGATTGTAATTGTGCATTCCTGCCTCGGGTTTCTGTTGTTTCGGTTTGGTTTTTTTCCTTTTTGTCCCTTTTTTCCCTTTCTCTTTCCTTTTCCCTATCCTTTTCCCTTTCGGGATTGTTTGGGGTTTGCGTGTTATATGTACACAGTGTTTTAATTATATATATCTGTGGTATATGTAAAATACATATATATTTTTGCTATAGCTTTTGCTATTCTGTTTTTTTTCCTTTGGAAGGTTTTTGCTGTAGTCTGTGGGGTTTGGTGGGAAGCCAACTACAACCGACTACACACACCCCAGCTGTGATTCAGTTTTCTGGAATGATTATAAATGAATTAAAAAGCTTTTTTGGGCCATCATCTAGGCAACTGCTGCCGTGGATAACATGGATTGCAGGAAGGCAGAAGAGAAGGACATGAAAGGGCCACCTGTGAGCAAAAGGTATTTTTCGTTTTCAGTAGTCTCTGAATTTTTGTTACTAGTTTTCTGTTTCTGTGGAAGAGTTCAGTGTCCTCCCTCCTGGGAGGGATGGGAACAAATGATTAAACACGGAAAACGTTCTGGCTGAGCTGTTCCAACACTGCAAACTGTCATTTGTCCAGATGGTCTAAAGATGTCCAGATTATTGAAAACCTTCCATATGTTTCTTTTCAGGGAGAGAGAAATATTTGATGAAGAAATCCAGCAAAGGCAAAAGTGCAAGGCCAAGCCTCAGCCTGCTGAGAGCTGAGGAGTGGCACCGGCTGCCCCAGAATTACATAGGGAAAATAAGAAACACAGAGGTTTTGGAATGGGATCGAGCCATTTTCAATGGGATTGATTCACTTTGAGGTGACAGACTGATCCCTCTCGACTTTTGGGATGCAGAGCTGGGAGAGACTGGAATGTTAATGGTCCACGGCTCCAACACTCTCCAGTTGCAGAAGCAGTGGGGGCTTTGCTGCCCATGGGCAAAGGAACCGCCTGGGGAAGGGGGGGTTAATGGGGCTGGGGGGAGAGAGGAGGGGCAGCACCACGAGCAGGTGAGTCCTGAGACCCCCCTGGTGTCCCCAAGACCATCTTGGTGTCCCCACCCCCCCCTTGACACCCCGAGACCCCCCTGGTGTCTCCAATGTCCCCAGGGCCTCCCCATGGCCTCAATCCCCCCCCGAAACCTCCAATTCCACTGTCCCCAAACCCCTTCCCACTGTCCCCAAACCCCATCCCTGATGTCTCCAACCCTCCATCTCACCCCAGGAGCCCCCTGGACCCTCTCACCCCAAAAACACCCCTCCTTCCCCCCACGCTCACAGAAAGGCCAAGGGCATCTGGGGACACACTGGGGACAGTTGGGGGGCTTTGTGGGGCACTGGGTGATTACTGGGGGATACTGGGACACACTGGGGGGAACCAGGGGGCACTGGGAGGGACTGGGGGGTTACTGAGAGGCGCTGGGAGGGCACTGGGAGGGACTGGAGGTGAACTGGGGCACACTGGGGGACACTGGCAGATGACTGAGGAGTTCCTGGGGGATTACCAGGACACACGAGGGGACACTGGGAGGTTACTGGGCCACACCGGGGATTACTGGGTGCTCACTGGAGGATCATTGGGCCACACTGGGAGGCAGTGGGAGGTCACTGGGATGCACTGGGTGGTCACTGAGGGGGTTACTGGGCCGTACTGAGAGTCACTGGGAGGTCACTGGGCTGTACTGGGGACATTGGGATCCCCTTACCCAGATGTGGTACATCTCGTCCCTGGACTTTGGGGGGCACCACCAGGCCCCCACCCTGGGGGCTGGGGGACCCCCTGAACCGCACTGCTGAACCCTCCCTGTAGGATCTCTGTGTGCTGAGTTTTGCGGTCTCTGGGGTTCAGGGCGGGCATCAGGATCCCCTTTCCCTGAGGTCGGTCCGCCGGGCCGGCAGGGGCGCTGTGGCCCGAAAAGAAATGGCGGGTCCAGCACGTGACGCGGGGCTTCATGGGAGTTGTAGTTCTTTTATGAGCTCTCCGCCGGCGCGCCTGCGCAGTGCAGCCAGGGCGTTGGAAAAGCCCCCGAGCCCCGCAGCCCCCAAGAGGGCTCCAAGGCCCCGCGCTCTGCCCCTCGGGAACCCCCGAACCCCTCCGCTAAACCCTCCCGAGCCCTCCAGCCTTTCCACTCACAGTGCAGTGCACCCGCCGCCGCCTCCTCCATCACTTCCCCACAGCCGACATGGCGCTCTGTGCGCTCCCCGCCTCCAGAGAGACCCCCACAGTCAATCCGCGGGCGGTCTCGCCCCCCGCTCGCCCGATGCAGCGCCCAGGCACCGGGCGAGCGGGAGAGGAAGACTTTGAGCCTTCATCCCCTGCGACCACCCGAGAGCAGCACAAGAGAGAAGTGCGCAGGCGGCAGAAGGCGCGTCCCGAGATTTCCATGGAACACCGCCCACTCTGGGGTAGCTCGGGAAGATGTAAAAATGTGCAACGAATATGTATGAGCTAATTTCCCAGGAACTGGAACAGCCCTGTGTGTGCAGGGACACGGGTCAGGGGGTGCTCCCCCAGCAGCCCTCTGTCCCCACAGCAGGTTGGGAGCTCAGGGGGCCACCCCGGACCCCCCTTTCCCACCCCCCTCTGCCCCACAGCTGCTGCAGCACCAGCTGCTGGGTGGGGGGAGTCCCCCCATCAGCCCCCAGGGTTGGGCACCTGTGGAGAATCGTGACCAGAGCAAGCACAGAAAGGGTTACAGAAGCAGTGGACATTCCCAGTGTGGATCTGCCCCCTCCCAGAGCCCCAGGGAACCGCTCCAGGGCCCAACTGATGGGGGACAGGGGGGACCCATATGGGAACCCCCCTCCCTCTGTCCCCCTACCCACTGTCCAACACCCCTTTTCTCCCCTCTCCCACCCCTTTCTCATCATCCCCACAGTCCTCAGCTCCCTCCCCGGCTCGGTTTGGGGCTGTTTCTTCCCCTCTGCCCTGCTCGGTTTCAGAGTCTCAGCCCCTTCCCTGCTCAGTTTGGAGGTCCCAGCCCCCCCCTTTTCCCCCGTTCTCCCCCCTTTTTCCACGGGCCCCTAAAAAGCTGCTACATCGTGTCCATTCCAAATTAAGCCTGCATTTATTAGCATGGACTGGCATCCAAACGGCAGCAAGAATAGTCTTCTAATTCTCTTCTTTTTAATCCTCTGTGCAGTCGCCGGTTTTCCCCTCGAAGCGGGCAGGAAAACAGGAACAGCCCTGGTGTGGTCGGGGAGCAGCGCTGACCCCAAAGGGCTGCATTTCCCCTGCCGATCGTCCTGCTCTGCCCTCCCCCGGGGCTGGCTCTGCCTGGCGCTGGCCGGACGTCCCGGGGCTCCTCACTGAGCAAACCCCTTCCCAAACTTCAGGGACAAGTCCAGACCCCGGCTGGCCCGGGAGGAAGCGACAGCAGCGCGGGCCGAGCGGGCGGGATGGGGTCCGAGCAGCGGCGGGAAGTTGCAAGATTGCCAGCAAAGAAGTCAAAATAAAGTGAAGCAGCTAAAAAAGCCCGTGGTCTCGGCATGGGTGCGGGAGGAAGGGGAGCTCCGTGACTGAAGCCGGGGCTTCCCCCGGGGCGCGCGGGGGCCAAACAGGGAACGGAAAAATGGACAAACGGACGAACCGACGAACGGACCAACGGCCCCGGCGCTTCGGCAGCAGCAGCGGCGGCAGCAGCAGCGGCTCTAGCGACGCGCTCTCGGTCTTTCTCCTGCTCTTGCTCTTCCTCCTCTCCGTCTCCCGGTGTCCCTGTCCCGGTGTCCCTGTCCCGGTGTCCCTGTCCCGGTGTCCCTGTGCCGGTGTCCCTGTCCCGTTCCCGGTCCCCCCTCCCCTTGCCGGCCCGGGCCATGGCCCCGGCCGTTCCCCTCTGCCGGGCGGGGCCGCCCCGTCCCCGGCCCTGGGCGGCCCGGCGCGGTCCCGCCCTCGCCCGGCTCCCGGCGCGCCGGCTGTGGCGCTGCTGGGCGCTCCTGTGGGGCGGGCTGTGGGATGGGCTGTGGGATGGGCTGTGGGATGGGCTGTGGCGCTTTCTGGGCGCTCCGGTGGGGCTGGCTGTGGGACAGGCTCGACCTCGCCGCCCCTTGACTCGGCCCGGCTCGAGCCCGGCGCCTGCCGGGGCCGGCGGGGGACGCGGGCGCCGCGGCCGCTGCCGCCTCCTCGGCGTGTTCCCCGGGCAGAGCTCCGCCGCCGCTGCCCGCTGCGGGTGGGGAAGCCCGGCCCGGGCCGCTCGAGGGGCGCTCGGGGGCCGTGCCGGGCCCCGGCCCGAACGCTGACGGCCACGTCTCGCCCGCACGGAAGGCGAAGGGGCCCCTGCAGAAGCGCTACCGGCTGGGTTCGCTGCTGGGCAGCGGCGGCTTCGGCCGCGTCTACGCGGGGACCCGCCTGGCGGACGGAGCCCCGGTGAGTGCAGGAGGAGGAGGAGGAGGAGGAGGAGGAGGAGGAGGAGGAGGGCGGGACGGGCGAGCTCAACCCGCCGTTCCCCTTGGCTTGCAGGTGGCCATCAAAGCCGTGCCCCGGGATCTCATCCGGCGCTGGGGCGAGCTGGTGAGCGAGCGGGGCCAGCGGCAGAAAGCGGGGCGGGACGGGCGGGGACGAGCCGAGGCCCGGCAGGGTGGAAGCCGCCGGGACACCTGGAGGGAGAGGGGCCGTGGGCTCGGTGGGGGACGGGGAGCATCCAGGGCTGGCCGAGGGGGAGCAGGCAGACAGGCACGGCATCAGCCCCACTGACGACCCCGTGGTCCCCCCGCAGCCCGACGGCACCCGGGCCCCCCTGGAGATCGTGCTGCTGGACAAGGTGTCCAATGGCTTCCCTGGGGTCATCCAGCTCCTGGAGTGGTTCGAGCTCCCCAACAGTTTCTTGTTGGTGATGGAGCGTCCGGAGCGCTCTCGGGACCTCTCTCGCGTAATCACGGCGTGGAGGTTCCTGCCGGAGGAGATGGCGTGGGGGCTGTTCCGCCAGGTGCTGAAGGCCGTGCGGCACTGCACCAGCTGCGGCGTCCTGCACCGGGACATCAAGCCCCAGAACATCCTCCTCGACCTGGCCACCGGAGAGGCGAAGCTCCTTGACTTTGGATGTGCCACCTTCCTTCAGGACACGGTCTACACCCAGTTTGCAGGTGAGCCCACAGCCGGGGGATGCTCCTGGTGCCGGGCATCGCATGGCCATGCCCGGGTGTGGCACCAGAGATTGCCCCTTTTGCTGAGGGGGAACAGGATTAGTTCTTCAGCCAAGTTGCTTTTGGATGGGGCTGGGGGGTTATTGTGAGACGGGCCCTGGCCTTGCTGACAGCCTGTGCCACCCACCCTGTCCTGGGCTGGGTGTGGGGCAGGGGGGAGCCAGCCTGACCAAAACCCCCGTGAGGGTAGCAGAGAAGGGGGTCAGAACTGTGCACCAGCTGGCTTGGTGTGCAGGCGAGGAGGGGCTTGGGCTGCTCCGCTCCCCTTGTTTGCCTTGGCTTATGATGAATTGTTGGGGGCAGTGCAGTGGGGCAGGGAGAAGGCATGGCTTTTCCCCACC